CCTCTGCGCCAGTAGCCCCCTTAACCTGGTGGCCTCCTCACCTAATCGCCCTGTGGCAGCCTCCTGCTGCCCAGTCGCCCCTGCCGTGTGCCCCCCCCTAAAAAATTTTGGGGGTTGCCTCTTGACCGTCCGACGCTGACACTGCTTACGCCGTTGCTCCTCTCTCCGTCGCCTCTCAACTGTCTCACTCCATGGCCGGCGGTCCATCCCGGCCAGGATCTCCTCCCAGGTCCAGGACCCTTTCCCGTCCAAAATCTGTTCCCACGTCCAGGCTGCCGATTCCTGGACACGCTGCTTGGTCCTGGTATGGTGGGTTTTTCTGTCACGATCGTCAGGGAGAGAAGTAGACCAATGCGCAGCGTGATGAACGAACATGTTACTTTATTAAACTAAAGCACGAAACAAAACAATAAACGACTCGTGAAGTCCACGGTGACAAAGACCGACACGGAACAAAAACCCACAAACACAAAAGGAAAACAGACAGTTTAAATATGGCTCCCAATCAGAGACAACCAGCCAACAGCTGACACTCGTTGCCTCTGATTGGGAATCACTCAGGCCAACATAGAAATAGACAAACTAGAACCCCCAACATAGAAATATAACACATAGAATAAACACACCCTGGCTCAACAAATAGAGTCCCAGAGCCAGGGTGTGACAGTATATATATAAACAGATTGTTTTTCGTTACATTTTATTACAACCAAACAAACAATCTTATTAGAATGATTCACCTTCCTGCTTTTATGGTTACAAGGTCCGTGGCACACATCCAATGCAACTTCTGGAGATGTGTGAATGCGATGTGATCTGTAAAATGGTTCCGATTATGTTCATAAAACATAAGCCTATTTGGAGGATGGAGTGGATATTGCACCTTTCTCTTTATATTGCACCTTTGTCCAGGTCCTGTGAAAAGTTTGGATGTGCGTAAAACCCTCCATAGTCTGCGCTGTTTTAATATTATATGCCCACAGGGAGAAATTATGGTGCCTGTAAGTGTTCCTATGTAAAACAAGTTGTTGTTTCGTTTTGTTTAGAATTTGATTAGAATTATCTGTTCCCTTTTTAGGCCTCATCAATAATGAATTGAATCTGCTTATTGACAATGTTTGGTATGTCCATGCTCAGCCATAATGCAATTTACAGTAGGCCTAGCCCCTATATCAGTGTGAATGCTATTGAAGCCATGCAATTACTTAGAACAATGTGGACTGCAAATGGGTTCAAGCTAACGTATTTAGCAAAGATAGGTCCCCATTTAGTTATTTCGTTTCTGTAAGCCATTTAACAAACTATAAATGGACTAACATTGGAATTGGATTTGATTCCAAGGCAATACATAAAAGACCGTAAATACACAACTTGAAGCAACCACATACAGAGGGGAAAAAAAGTATTTAGTCAGCCACCAATTGTGCAAGTTCTCCCACTTAAAGATGAGAGAGGCCTGTAATTTTCATCATAGGTACACGTCAACTATGACAGACAAAATGAGGGGAAAAAATCCTGAAAATCACATTGTAGGATTTTTAATGAATTTATTTGCAAATTATGGTGGAAAATAAGTATTTGGTCAATAACAAAAGTTTCTCAATACTTTTTTATATACCCTTTGTTGGCAATGACACAGGTCAATGTTTTCTGTAAGTCTTCACAAGGTTTTCACACACTGTTGCTGGTATTTTGGCCCATTCCTCCATGCAGATCTCCTCTAGAGCAGTGATGTTTTGGGGCTGTCGCTGGGCAACGCGGACTTTCAACTCCCTCCAAAGATTTTCTATGGGGTTGAGATCTGGAGACTGGCTAGGCCACTCCAGGACCTTGAAATGCTTCTTACGAAGCCACTCCTTCGTTGCCCGGGCGGTGTGTTTGGGATCATTGTCATGCTGAAAGACCCAGCCACGTTTCATCTTCAATGCCCTTGCTGATGGAAGGAGGTTTTCACTCAAAATCTCACGATACATGGCCCCATTCATTCTTTCTTTTACACGGATCATTCGTCCTGGTCCCTTTGCAGAAAAACAGCCCCAAAGCATGATGTTTCCACCCCCATGCTTCACAGTAGGTATGGTGTTCTTTGGATGCAACTCAGCATTCTTTGTCCTCCAAACAGAACGAATTGAGTTTTTACCAAAAAGTTATATTTTGGTTTCATCTGACCATATGACATTCTCCCAATCCTCTTCTGGACCATCCAAATGCGCTCTAGCAAACTTCAGACGGGCCTGGACATGTACTGGCTTAAGCAGGAGTACACGTCTGGCACTGCAGGATTTGAGTCCCTGGCGGCGTAGTGTGTTACTGATGGTAGGCTTTGTTACTTTGGTCCCAGCTCTCTGCAGGTCATTCACTAGGTCCCCCCGTGTGGTTCTGGGATTTTTGTTCAGCGTTCTTGTGATCATTTTGACCCCACGGGGTGAGATCTTGCGTGGAGCCCCAGATCGAGGGAGATTATCAGTGGTCTTGTATGTCTTCCATTTCCTAATAATTGCTCCCACAGCTGATTTCTTCAAACCAAGCTGCTTACCTATTGCAGATTCAGTCTTCCCAGCCTGGTGCAGGTCTACAATTTTGTTTCTGGTGTCCTTTGACAGCTCTTTGGTCTTGGCCATAGTGGAGTTTCGAGTGTGACTGTTTGAGGTTGTGGACAGGTGTCTTTTATACTGATAACAAGTTCAAACAGGTGCCATTAATACAGGTAACGAGTGGAGGACAGAGGAGCCTCTTAAAGAAGAAGTTACAGGTCTGTGAGAGCCAGAAATCTTGCTTGTTTGTAGGTGACCAAATACTTATTTTCCACCATAATTTGCAAATAAATTCATTAAAAATCCTACAATGTGATTTTCTGGAGAAAAAAACCCTCAATTTGTCTGTCATAGTTGACGTGTACCTATGATGAAAATTACAGGCCTCTCTCATCTTTTTAAGTGGGAGAACTTGCACAATTGGTGGCTGACTAAATACTTTTTTCCCCCACTGTATTTCACCATGGAGCACGTTCTGATTGGCCAGTGATTGGCTAAAGCCTCAACACACCCACAATGTATTTAGTCATCGAAACCCAGCCCATTCGCGCCAACGCCAGCAAGTGCGCCAATAATTGTAATAGTGAAAATAACAAAAATACCCCTGAACCTAGCTATAGTGCTACCGCCTGCGCCAGAAATTTTCTTAAAAGCATGGGTTATTTCCTGAGTCACAGAATTTTTCCACTTCTGTTGTCATTCATCACATACCACTTTAATGCAGAGGTCAGAATGCTCATATGAAATTATTATGTTGTGACAAAAATAAATAGATTTAATTATCTTGTAACTGATCATTTATATTATTACCTAGCAACGGCACAGTCTGAATAAACTGTTAGCTATATACTGTTGGAGCTGATTGTTGCTCCTTTCTAAGAGATATCCTCCAGCACTCTTTAAGGTGTTGAAGCACTGAGAAACCTGCAGCCACTCGGGGTTACTGGTGGAAAGTGCTCCCCTATCACAATGTTCAAAAGGGGATAATGGGTGGCAGAAATCACCTCGCCCTGAAATGGCATTCTGTGTTTACAAGCAGAGTATTTGTATGGAGAAAATTGCAGTTCCACACACTTGCTGTTGTTTGATATTGTGTGAGCTGCCTGACAAAGTTATCTTCAGCTGCAGTTATATAAACTTGAAACTTTCATGTTATTGGATTCTACACTGGATTGGTATTTTGGTAAAAGTGGGTTAAATTTGAACTCAATTTAAAGAACGTTGTGCAATTTGGACTGCCTGCCACATGCATAATCAAATCTTATTACCTTGGCTTTTAACCACTGCTCCGACAGTATCTATTGTCCTTTTTGAAAAACAAGACTATTTCATGTTGTTATTAAACCAAGTGTTAGATATTCAATTTAAACTATTTTCCTTTGATACATGGGAAATTATTAGAGATAATGTTTTAATCTGTGACTCACAAAATCCATGTGATAGACTAGCGTCCTGTCCAGGGGGTGTACCTGTACATTAAGGTGCCTCATGCTATAGAAACAGGAGATAGGTGCAGGAGCCTATGAGCCATTCCGGCTTGCAAAAGCCAAGGCTCGTACAAGGCTACTTACAAAGGGTATGCATGAATCATGAAACCCATATCAGCTGAGAGCCAAACAATAGCAGATATCGGGTAGGGTCTAAATACAGAATTAGGTCATGTATATGTGGTGCTGAATAGAAGATACACACTCTCAGACGCTTTAGTGCTTGCTCTCATCCAGGCCAATGCTCATTGTTCAACATACTGCACAACGTAAGGATGAATCGTGTTAAGATAGCCCTGAAGATCTTAGTTTACCGGGAGGCTGGATACATGTAAGATTGTTCTGACCGCATACCCAGCGTCAATCTCACACATACTCATCTCTGATTGGGCAACACTGACTCAATGTTCCCCGTAGGGCCTTACTAAGTGACTTTGGAGAACGATACAAAGAAGAGCCCCTCACGGCGACACTCACTGTAGTAGCGGCTCAATACATTCCTCAGAAGAGTGTACTTGGTGGTGTAATCCCCTGCCTCAGATAATGCAGCATCATAATCTGTAAAGAGAATGCCACTATCAGAACAGCAAGAGGCACGAGGAGTGAGAGGCGGGGATGCCTCCTCCCGTGTCCGATGAATTTCACTCTGCTCCTATCAAACATCTCAAGCCAGCAGGAGACACATATTTTGTGGTTATCTTGACAGATGCGGCTGCAGGAGTTTGGATGGAGGCAAGAGGCAGTCGATGGAATACAATTTAAATACAGACTACTGTTAAACTTGAAGTTCAAAGAGCAAATGCCAATGTGCCACTGTTACTAATGTTTGACATCAACGTCATTCTCCTCTGAGGAGCGAGGTCATTACAATGTCAACGGTTGTAAAGAGGATTAAAAAAACCCATCATGCCGTCTTTCATTTACATTTCCCATGCATTTTATTAGCCGATGAATTTTAATTATGCAGTGAGTGCTAAAAATGCAGCCCGAGGTCAAGCACCATCTATTGGCCTTTAGTAACAGTACAGTGACAATATATTACTGTAACCCTGCCTGTATAACTGGCTGGTGTAACGTCCTTATCAGAGGTATGTTTCAATAAAGATAAATAACAAGGTAAACTATGAGAACACATTGATTCTAAAACAAGTGGACAGCAAGTAATATAAAGATCCAAATATAATTTACCATAGCTTGTTACCATTGGCTTAGGCATGGGTGTGGCAATTGCAAAGGCCCCGTTCATGAAGCCAAAATGTGTTCCTCCGTGTGTCACGTTCGTTGAGTAAAGGATTGGACCAAGGTGCAGCGTGGTATGCGTACATAGTAGTTTATTATATAAACACAGACAAAATAACAAAATCCAACAGAACGTGAAGTTCAAAAGGCTAAACATCCAACAAGCCAAACAGAAACAAGATCCCACAACTAAGGTAGGCAACATGGCTGCCTAAATATGATCCCCAATCAGAGACAACGATCGACAGCTGCCTCTGATTGGGAACCACAACCGGCCAACATAGATATACACATTCTAGAATGTACACATAGATATTCACACCCTGACCAAACCAACTAGAGATCTCAATGTCAGGGCGTGACAGTACCCTCCCCCCAAAGGTGCGGACTCCGGCCGCAAAACCTGACTCCTTAGGGGAGGGTCCGGGTGGGCATTTTAGCCTAGGTGGCGGCTCCGGCACCAGGCGCGACGTCAACCTTACTGTCCTCTCCTTTTCTGGCTCCCCGTTGCACACCTGGTCCGGTCTGGACCCAGGCGCGATGCTTCCCCTCTCAGTCCTCCCACGATGCACCAAGCCCTGTCTGGACCCTGGTGTGGGAGAGTAGACGACCGGACCCGGACTAGGCACCGGTGGAGCGGACTGCTCTGGCACTGGAGTGGAGCCGCTGACCGGAGCTGGACTTGGCACCGGTGGAGCGGACTGCTCTGGCACTGGAACGGGCCGTACCGGGCTGGCGACACGCACCACTGGTTTGGTGCGAGGAGCAGGAACGGGCCGTACCGGACTGGAGACACGCACCACTGGTTTGGTGCGAGGAGCAGGAACGGGCCGTACCGGACTGGAGACATGCACCACTGGTCTGGTGCGAGGAGCAGGCACGGGCCGTACTGGACTGGAAACACGAACCACTGGTCTGGTGCGAGGAGCAGGCACAGGCCGTACCGGATTGGAGACACGCACCACTGGTCTGCTGCGAGGAGCAGGCACGGGCCGTACCGGATTGGAGACACGCACCACTGGTTTGGTGCGAGGAGCAGGAACGGGCCGTACCGGACTGGAGACACGCACCACTGGTCTGGTGCGAGGAGCAGGCACGGGCCGTACTGGACTGGAAACACGAACCACTGGTCTGCTGCGAGGAGCAGGCACGGGCCGTACCGGATTGGAGACACGCACCACTGGTCTGCTGCGAGGAGCAGGCACGGGCCGTACCGGATTGGAGACACGCACCACTGGTCTGGTGCGAGGAGCAGGCACGATCCACATTCAAAATCACCTCCCTCACCATACTGATTAGCTACACATATTGCATAGAACAGTTCCCAAACTGTGGGCCGGTGTTTTTTTAAGGAACTCAGTCCGGCTTTAAACTTACTCTTGAAAGTTGTTATAGTAGAATGCACAAGGTGCAATTTCGAAATTGGGTAGTGCATCATCAGTTTCTCTTGTCCTGTTAGTCATTGCATACCTTAGAGAGCTATTTATAACTTGTCAGAAAAGTCCAGATCAAGCCCATGTAAGGTCATGTTTTCTTTTTTTTAGCCCATAGATATTGGTGTAATTTCTTTGTTACTCAAATATCACATGAATACACAGACATTACAAAATGTATAGAATTGCAAGAAAATTAGCATTAAAACTGCTAAATGTTCTTTGCACCCCATGACACAATTTATGGAATTGCGGGGGGAGGGGGGGTGGGATGATCTCCAATGCTGGAAAGGGGGCCCCCGAGTGAAATTTTGGGAACCCCTGTATAGAACATTTAATTAGACATTCAAATTGAGCTGACTTTACCGATTTAAATCAAGGGCAGTGGAATAATGAATAACAAGCATGGAGTGACAGAGCATGACTTGATTAGCATCCAGTGTGCGAGATAGACGTGGATGCTGCTGGCAATGACAGGAAGACAAAACCAGGCCTGGGGACACGAGTTATCAGTGGCTGTTGTTCAACATAAGAAGGACAGTCTGGAGAATCTACATGACATTAATACACCTCCACAACTGTGTGCCAAGCTGTATGACGACTGACAAGTATTTACTGCAGTGATGCATTGTCTAATGAGAGGATCGTGAAAATTGAGTAAAAAAAAAAAAAATTCACCATCATGTAAATTGTAATGTATGGCCAAAATATCCCAAAGCTAGCAGTGGCTACAGTGTTATGCGGATGGTGTGTGTGTGTATATTAAATGGTTAGTCAGTAGCCCTTTCACATACTGTACTGTTCCCTGCTGAGAGGAGCTGAGTCACTCTTATCTAACAATCTGCAAACATGTACAGTGAGGGAAAAAAGTATTTGATCCCCTGCTGATTTTGTGCGTTTGCCCACTGACAAAGACATGATCAGTCTATCATTTTAATGGTAGGTTTATATGAACAGTGAGAGACAGAATAACAACAAAGAAATCCAGAAAAACGCATGTTAAAAATGTTATGAATTGATTTGCATTTTAATGAGGGAAATAAGTATTTGACCCCTCTGCAAAACATGACTTAGTACTTGGTGGCAAAACCCTTGTTGGCAGACGTTTCTTGTAGTTGGCCACCAGGTTTGCACACATCTCAGGAGGGATTTTGTCCCACTCCTCTTAGCAGATCTTCTCCAAGTCATTAAAGTTTCGAGGCTGACGTTTGGCACTCGAACCTTCAGCTCCCTCCACAGATTTTCTATGGGACTAAGGTCTGGGGACTGGCTAGGCCACTCCAGGACCTTAATGTGCTTCTTCTTGAGCCACTCCTTTGTTGCCTTGGCCGTGTATTTTGGGTCATTGTCATGCTGGAATACCCATCCACGACCCATTTTCAATGCCCTGGCTGAGGGAAGGAGGTTCTCACCCAAGATTTGACGGTACATGGCCCCGTCCATCTTCCCTTTGATGCGGTGAAGTTGTCCTGTCCCCTTAGCAGAAAAACACCCCCAAAGCATAATGTTTCCACCTCCATGTTTGATGGTGGGGATGGTGTTCTTGGGGTCATAGGCAGCATTCCTCCTCCAAACACGGCGAGTTGAGTTGATGCCAAAGAGCTCGATTTTGGTCTCATCTGACCACAACACTTTCACCCAGTTCTCCTCTGAATCATTCAGATGTTCATTGGCAAACTTCAGACGGGCCTGTATATGTGCTTTCTTGAGCAGGGGGACCTTGCGGGCGATGCAGGATTTCAGTCCTTCACGGCGTCATGTGTTACCAATTGTTTTCTTGGTGACTATGGTCCCAGCTGCCTTGAGATCATTGACAAGATCCTCCCGTGTAGTTCTGGGCTGATTCCTCACCGTTCTCATGATCATTGCAACTCCACGAGGTGAGATGTTGCATGGAGCCCCAGGCCGAGGGAGATTGACAGTTATTTTTTGTTTCTTCCATTTGCGAATAATCGCTATTGTCACCTTCTCAACTAGCTGCTTGGCGATGGTCTTGTAGCCCATTCCAGCCTTGTGTAGGTCTACAATCTTGTCCCTGACATCCTTGGAGAGCTCTTTGGTCTTGGCCATGGTGGAGAATTTGGAATCTGATTGATTGATTGCTTCTGTGGACAGGTGTCTTTTATACAGGTAACAAACTGTGATTAGGAGCACTCCCTTTAAGAGTGTGCTCCTAATCTCAGCTCGTTACCTGTATAAAAGACACCTGGGAGCCAGAAATCTTTCTGATTGAGAGGGGGTCAAATACTTTTTTCCCTCATTAAAATGCAAATCAATGTGTAACATTTTTTACACACGTTTTTCTGGATTTTTTTGTTGTTATTCTGTCTCTCACTGTTCAAATAAACCTACCATTAAAATTATAGACTGATCATTTCTTTGTCAGTGGGCAAACGTACAAAATCAGCAGGGGATCAAATACTTTTTTCCCTCACTGTACACACTGCATGGAATGCTCTTCTATTGTCTGTACATACACATATACAGTACATGTAGGTTAACAATAGGGGCTTTGCAGTTTCCATTTACTTTGAAGGTTCTAGACACTGAAGGCCAGTATAAAATCATACCACAGTATAAAACAGTATATAAAAGACAGCTTGGTTCAGTTGAAATTGACTACATGGATCAAAATATAATTTTATGGGGAATAAAGACCAAATCTGTTTTATGATGCTTGGCTTGGAAACAAGCATACATGGAAAGCATATTAATCTCTGACAGAAACATACCACAAAGGAGAACTGACCATATGCTAAGCACCATGTGACCAATCTATTGAGTGTGATTCATGCGGTGTGGCAAAGAGAGACTGCTGTTTGAGGAAATATGACTTACCCTCAGCAGCAAAAACATGGTGAAGGTCACCCCAGAGGTCAAACCACCCAGACCAAAACTCCATCACCATCTTGGGCTTCTGGGGCTAGAAGAATGGGAAGGGGAATGTTCAACAGAGAGGTACAAAAAAACTAAATATATGTTACTCCTTGTAGACACAGTATTTACTCCTTGAACAACAGGGACCCGTTTTTTTTAAGTTATCGATCGGATTTTGGCAATCGGATCATTTAATCCTAGCCGAAATCCGATCAGATAACTTCTGAAAAACTGGGCCCAGACTATAGGCATCTCAAGACTGTGGTTCAAAGCAATTTAATCTACAAGTATCGGATGAAACTGAGTAATTGATCAACTACAATGCTGGAGCTGGATAAATCTAATGATAAATATTAGCAGACAATCATCTGAACACAACTCAATACATTCACTCACTTGAATTGCATCCAGATACTTTAATCCCTCTGGGCTCAGTTTCAGAAAATTGATGGTTTCTAGAACTATTGACTTAAACGGAAAACAAAAACTGCTTTGCATTTTAACAGATTCTATTTTTGTCTTGTTTTCTCTTAATCTGTATCTATCTAAACAGCACATTCACTCATCTCATCAGTCTCCTTTGTGTTTAGGCTTCAAGTGGAAAGGGAATTAGTCAAGGAGCAGTTCTAATGAAGCCTAACAGCAGCTGCCTGACCTTGGCACAGACAGAGCCCTTGTGTTTTGGGAGAATACCAACTACAGTTCAGGCAGAGACTGCAGCGTCAGATGGGCCAGAGGCTCTACTATAGTGCAGCTGTCTGTCTGTCTGTTTGTCCAGTCAGTACAATACCTCCATTCACTCCCCCGTGCTTCAGTCCATCCTGGTTGTCTGAGGTCAGGAGCAGCTCCTCAATCCCCCTGGACAATAGTGCCTAGAACAAGGATCTCATCTCAATCATGCTCATATTTCCAAGTAGATATCCTACTATTGCAAATGAAACTAGTTGTAGTGAAATCAAGTGAAAGTGATGCACAGTGTGTTTGCATGTACGCGCGTGTGTGTGTAACAAAGCAGATGCACTGCCTTACCTCCTTTATGTATGGCATGTATTCAACGTCTTTTGCATAAGAGCCATACTCGTTCTCCACTTGAACTGCTATAATTGGGGCCCCCTTGGAGTACTGAGCGTTTTCAATAATACATCAAATAATGAATGCATAATGACTGCATTGATTGTTAATGTGCTTCATAACACAGTGTGAGTTTAATGGATTTCCAAATATCTTTAATCTGGTTAACCTAGTGGTACATACTGGGATATTTCTGGACCAATTACCCTTCCTAGATTCATTTAGATGATGATCAGAGTCAGTCAAATGACACTCATTGAGGGGGAAAGCTCAGTAAATAAATGTTTTCGTTCTCTCTGTGTGTGAGCAATATCTGTTTTTCCACTTTGATCTATAATCTATATTTAGCCACATTACTAAGAAGGAATGTGGGCCTGTCTACCCTTTTACAGAGACCTGACTGTAAACATCAATGTAGCTGATTGACTAAATGACTAGGCAATGAAGGAAATAACACCACAATGGAAATGAGCATTACAAACATGGATGAGGAAAAATGGATGAGACGTCTTATAGGGATGGACCTATCCATACAGGGAGCTGAAACCAACCTGGGCTAAAATAATAATAATAATATGCCATTTAGCAGACGCTTTTATCCAAAGCGACTTACAGTCATGCGTACATACATTTTTTTTTTTTGTGTGTATGGTTGGTCCCGGGGATCGAACCCACTACCTTGGCGTTACAAGTGCCGTGCTCTACCAGCTGAGCTACAGATCTGGGAACATCTAACCTGGGCAGCCCTCCTAAGTCCCATTCAGCACAGATGTAGGGTCCTGGCCGCAGAATCACCCAGAGCCCCAACTCTGCTGCTAGGCTGATGTATGCCCTGAGAGACACAGAGAAAAGCAGAGAGACAAAGCTCAACAGCTCTATCAAACATTTTAATCACAAAATCATATAAAAAAAGTGGAAGTCTTCCTTACTTTAAATCCAACTGGTCCTGGAAGTTGAAAACCCCCCTCTCTGGCTCATGAAGGTTCCATGGCACATATCTGAAAGATAAACCAGTCATTCTCAGTATCTCTCCATAGTAGAGCAGCAGTGAGTGGTGGTATAAGAGGACATGAGGTGTTCTGTGTGTCCCTACGTGGTGAGAGTGTTGACCCCACAGGCCCTCATCTTCAGCAGCCGGTCCTCCCAGTAGGCTCTGGGGACGCGGAAGTAGTAGATAGAGCCCCCCAGGATGCGAAAGGGCTCTCCCTCCAGAGTGAACTGAGAGGAGTTGGCCCTCAGTCCCTCTTTCTGGCTCATTCTCCCCACCTCTGGGTGTTGGCTGGAAGAAAAAGACAAACTGCTGGTCAACCCAGAAAGTTAGACTAAATAGGAGTCATAGGAACTAGACAATGGCATCTAAGGTGAGTAGCTAAGTATTTATAATACTTGTCACAAGCATACAAGACACACCCAACAGTTTTAGATAAATCAACAAAGCTTTTAGCATAAGCTACATGCATGCTACTCCTCTTATCTTACAAGAATGCAAATCTCTATTTGAATATGAGGGAGACGTACATAGTCAATTGCTCACACTGTCCCACTGTGGAACAAGTACTGAACAGAGCCATAACAAATGGCAACATACAAGCTAAGTGTTTGTCTACACAAGGTTAATGTCCATAGTAGGTGGGTCAGGTGAAAGTTCATGATGGGGTAAATGAAATATATATTCCATTAATTAGACTATGGAAAGTATTGATTGCATATTATTTTTCTTCTTCTCACATTTGTATAGTCCTACCTCTTCTGTGTAATAATATTTCACAATCTGATAACATTTTGTCATTATGAATTGTCTTTAAAGCATTGCCTATAATACATTTTCTTTAAATAACCAGTTTGAAAAGGGTCCGTTTGGGATACTGGTTGCCTATTGATGCATTTGCAGGTCCATGACAACATGAGGAAAAACAACAACAAACAGGACATAACTTTGCACAGACTCTCGAGCCCTGCCCATAAAGTCTTACCACAGATAGAACAATGAGACAGATATTTCACCGGATGTATAAATGTGAAACATTCGCTTGCGTTTCCACTCACTACCAAATATGATAGTGAGAGGAAGCCCAGTGGCCGGTAGTGGGAGAAGATGGAAAGAGATGGATTTTGTCCGACATTCTGCTAAGTTTCTCATCAATTAAACATTTGATCTCAATACAGTTTTCTGTTCCCAAAACTAGAATATGTTACAAACAGGGTGCACTAAGTTTTGTAGACTTTACCCTTTGCCAAAGTTTTTAAAAATTGCGATGTTTAGAAGGAGTGTAAAGGCGAATTGCGTTGTTGCGCCCTTTGCAGAGTAGGCGTTCCCTAACGGAAATATGCAAATATTGGCTAGAACGCACCAATAGGATCTCGCTATCTCGTGCTTGGCTCTGCCCACTATGACTCATTTGTTTCAATTTGACACGACAGACCTGTGGTTTATCTTCGTTTATTTATAACAATCTTTGGTCTTACCGTGTGAATTGAAAGATGATATATCCGACGATAATAAAACCGAGAATGGCATACCGCCGTCTCCGTGTGAGAGACAGCCTGACGATCATGGATGCATTTAAAAAATGTTACGAATAACGATGCAACGTTGCAACAGCTGCGTTGACAGCCCACGCCTTCAAAGACCCCGTGGCAGACAACACATCACCGGAAGAACAGGCTAATAATACTGTAGTACGGGCGATTCACTCAAGGGGAAAATACAGGTGAGAGCTATAGACCATAATGAATTACAATATCAATCTGCACAAAACTCCAATCCTAATGCAAGTGGAAAGGCTTACTGTTAGTTCTGACAAAGCCCACAGTGTTTCTCACTAGGTTATCATAATTCGATTTTCAGCAGGCAGTAGCCTTTACATTGTGCGTTTTGGTAGTCGTAGTATATTGCTCGCCTTCAATAGGCACTATGAAACGGATAGTTGTTATATATTGTACCGACTGGTAGGCAAAACTAATGTTTTGTCCTTACAACCAAAATCAGTAAAAAGACAGGTCAGGCGAACTTGCAAGACCGGAATCATACCATTTGGCGTCATAGCCTACTGTTTACACTAGATTGTAATGGGAAAAGGCGCAATTTATTTTACCCATGTAACTTTCAAACTCTCACGCACACACGCTGAACTGCAGCCATCACATTCTTGCTCGGCCCAACTGTCCGCAAGATGACGCTATTATTCCTGACGTCTTTTTCTTTTTCTTCTTTAGTTTAACGGCGGTTGGCATCCAATAAATGTTGCATTACCGCCACCTACTAGACTGGACTAAACTCCCTTAAACTTTGCTTGAAAAAAGACAACTAGATCAACAAATACCCTACCGTCTAACCCTACACTCATTAAAAACCCACCACTCTACTGAACTATTTAAACCTATCTAGTCCTACCTCAGGCCAACAACCTGAAAGGATGGGACACCACCATTCAACACACCCTGTAACTATTCTAACGTCAAATCTCGTACACCCAAATACTTCTCTGCAGCTGCCACCACAACCTCTATTTTCTGCGACTTACGTTCCATCCCTGCAATTCCTGACTTTGTTTGTCAGCTTCAACCTTTATGCTGTACTATATTATACTGGTGACGATGTCTCATAGTGATTTTCTTGAAGGTCTATGTCCCTAGAGTTGGTAAATGTGTGATAGCAGTGCAGCAATGACAGCTTTCTCTGTGTTGTCACTCTTTCATCCCTCCATCCCATTCATTTTTCCCATAGGGATTGTTTACCCTATGACAAACAATGCCAGTATACAACAAGTTATTGCTCATGTATACCCTTTAATCATATATCATTTTGAAAGCTTCGACTCACAGCTATCCATCAGACACATTTTCGGAATGTTGTATAAATTACTTTAAAAGGAAATGCTGATACATTTTCAACTTTGTTTGACAAGTGGTTCTGAGAGGTCATGAAATGACCTTCAAATGATATAATATAACCAACTTTGAAACACCAACTACAACTATTTTTAAAAATCATGAATGAATCATGAATAATGATGAGTGAGAAAGTTACAGACACACAAATATCATACCCCTCTAAAAATGCTAACCTCCCCTGTTATTGTAATGTTTAAAGGTTAGCATGTCTTTGGGGTATGATATTTGTGCGTCTGTAACTTTCTCACTCATCATTATTCATGATTCATTCAGGACTATCCGTAATCATGGTAGCCCCCGTAATCAGCCGGTGCCCCCGCACATTGACTCTGCACCGGTACCCCCCTGTATATATAGCCTCCCAACTGTTATTTTATTTTACTTCTGCTCTTTTTTTCTCAACACTTTTTTTGTTGTTTTCTTTGTACTTTTTTTGTTAAAAATAAATGCACTGTTGGTTAAGGGCTGTAAGTAAGCATTTCACTGTAATGTCTGCACCTGTTGTATTCGGCGCATGTGACCAATACAATTTGATTTGATTAATGTAGAACTGTTTAGAAACATATTATATTCTTATTTACAATAAATGTGACTCCAAAATGACAATACATTATTTACCATTCATTTCTATTGGGCACAAAATAATCTGAAACACAACCAAAACAAACAGTAAATGCATCCAACAAGTTTGTTGAGTCACAAGATTGATGTGATCATTGTGTGCTAGGAATATGGGACCAAATACTAAACTTTTGACTACTTTAATACACAGATAATTTAATTTGTTCCAATACTTTTGGTCCCTTAAAATGGGGGTACTATGTACAAAAAGTGCTGTGATTTCTAAACAGTTCACCCGATATGGATGAAAATGCCCTCAAATTAAATCTGACAGTCTGCACTTTAACCTCATAGTCATTGTATTGTATTGGCATTCCTATGGAATTGTACAAGTTTCCAGTCCTCTGTTTTATAAAAACAGTTAATAGGATAACATTGTATATCATTTTAATCAGCTCACATCAATGACTATTCACATGTACATAGACATTTTACATCTTTTTGGGCACATTCTTACCACAATTCAGTGAATACTTTAACGTCTTTATATATCTGGCACACCTGGCATATTTGATTGTGCTTTCTACATCACTATTAACATTTTAAGATATTATTGGGCATACTACAATTAGGCCTATATTTCAAACATACAGGTATAGTCATGCGAAATTGATTAAATAAGACCCCATTGAATTGTTTGCCGGCCATATTGGGAAAAGGCTTCTGTGGGGTTAATGCATGAATCCTGTGATGACCCTCTACAGTGCCTTGCAAAAGTATTCATCACCCTTGGTGTTTTATCTATTTTGTTGCATTACAACCTGTAATTTAAATAGATTTTTATGTGTATTTCATGTAATGGACATACACAAAATAGTCCAAATTGGTGAAGTGAAATGAAAAAAAATAACTTGTTTCAAACAATTCTAAAAAATAAATAACGGAAAAGTGGTGCGTGCATATGTATTCACCCCCTTTAGTATGAAGCCCCTAAATAAGATCTGGTGCAACCAATTACCTTCAGAAGTCACATAATTAGTTAGATTGCACACACATTGACTTTATTTAAGTGTCAGATGATCTGTCACATGATCTCAGTATATATACACCTGTTCTGAAAGGCCCCAGAGTCTACAACACCACTAAGCAAGGGGCACCACCAAGCAAGCGGCACCATGAAGACCAAGGAGCTCTCCAAATAGGTCCGGGACAAAGTTGTGGAGAAGTACAAATCAGGGTTGGGTTATAAAAAAAAATATCTGAAACTTTTAACATCCCACAGAGCACCATTAAATCCATTATTTAAAAATGGAAAGAATATGGCACCACAACAAACCTGCCAAGAGAGGGCCGCCCACCAAAACTCACAGACCAGGCAAGGAGGGCATTAATCAGAGAGGCAACAAAGATACCAAATATAACAATGAAGGAGCTGCAAAGCTCCACAGCGGAGATTGGAGTATCTGTCCATAGGACCACTTTAAGCCGTCTTTATGGAAGAGTGGCCAGAAAAAAGCCATAAAAAGCCATTGCTTGAAGAAAAAAACAAGCAAACACGTTTGGTGTTCGCCAAAAGGCATGTGGGAGACTCCCCAAACATATGGAAGAAGGTACTCTGGTCAGATGAGACTAAAATTGAGCTTTTTGGCCATCAAGGAAAACTCTGTCTGGCACAAACCCAACACCTCTCATCACCCTGAGAACACCATCACCACAGTGAAGTATGGTGGTGGCAGCATCATGCTGTGGGGATGTTTTTCATCGGCAGGGACTGGGAAACTGGTCAGAATTGAAGTAATGATGGATGGCGCTAAAAACAGGGATATTCTTGAGGGAAACCTGTTTCAGTCTTCCAGAGATTTGAGACTGGGACAGAGATTCACCTTCCAGCAGGACAATGACCCTAAGCATACTGCTAAAGCAACACTCGAGTGGTTTAAGGGGAAACATTTAAATGTCTTGGAATGGCCTAGTCAAAGCCCAGGCCTCAATCCAATTGAGAATCTGTGGTATGACTTAAAGATTGCTGTACACCAGCGGAACCCATCCAACTTGAAGGAGCTGGAGCAGTTTTGCCTTGAAGAATGGGCAAAAAGCCCAGTGGCTAGATGTGCCAAGCTTATAGAGACATACCCCAAGAGACCTGCAGCTGTAATTGCTGCAAAAGGTGGCTCTACAAAGTATTGACTTTGAGGGGGTGAATAGTCTTTTTTTTTTTTTTTCTTATTTCTTGTTTGTTTCACAATAAAAAATATTTTGCATCTTCAAAGTGGTAGGCATATTGTGTAAATCAAATGATACAAACCCCCCAAAAATCCATTTTAATTCCAGGTTGTAAGGCAACAAAATAGGAAAAATGCCAAGGGGGGTGAATACTTTCGCAAGCCACTGTATCTGCAAATCTTTTTTAAATCCTGTTCTAGCTGTGTGTGTGCAATTTGGAGATTCTATCACCAAAGTTACAATCCAAAACATTAGCCACTACATGGAATTCTATGGCTAAGCTTCCAACATTTTAATGTCAATGGCAAAATTTGGTCTATTTTTAAACAATATTTGTAGGTGGTGCTTTCAAAGTTGGTTATATTATATATAATTTGAAAGGTAATTTCATGGCCTTTAGGAACCACTTGTCAAACAAAGTTTCAAATGTATCAGGGTTTATTTTTTAAAGCAATTTATACTAGTAATTCTGATTTGTACCGTAGAGGTCAAAGTTCTGTTGGCCTGAACATTCCGAAAATGTGTCTGATGGATAATTGTGAATGATACAGTGCATTCGGAAAGTATTCAGACCCCTTGACTTTTTCCACATTTTGATTAAATTGTTTTTTTTCCCCCTCATCAATCTACACACAATACCCCATAATGACGAAGCAAAAAACGTTTTTTATTTTCTTTGAGCAAATTATAAAATTAAAATAAACGGAAATATTACATTTACATAAGTATTCAGAACCTTTACTCAGTACTTTGTTGAAGGACCTTTGGCAGCGAATACAGCTTTGATTAGTCTCAGGTATGACGTTGCAAGATTGGCACACCTGTATTTGAGGTGTTTCTTCCATTCTTCTCTGCAGATTCTCTCAAGCTCGGTCAGGTTGGATGGGGAGCGTCGCTGCACAGCAAATTTTCAGGTCTCTCCTGAGATGTTCAAGTCCGGGCTCTGGCTGGGCCACTCAAGGACATTCAGAGACTTGTACCGAAGCGACTCCTGCGTTGTCTTGGCTGTGTGCTTAGGGTCATTGTCTTGTTGGAAGGTGAACCTTCACCCCAGTCTAAGGTCCTGAGCGCTCTGTAGCAGGTTTTCATCAAGGATCTCTCTGCACTTTGCTCCATTAATCTTTCCCTTGATCCACTCTACCAAAAAGGCCTGATTGGTGGAGTGCTGCAAAGATGGTTGTCCTTCTGGAAGGTTCTCCCATCTCCACAGAGGAAATCTGGAGCCTCCTTGACCAAGGCCCTTCTTCCACGATTGCTCAGTTTGGCCGGGCGGCCAGCTCTAGGAAGAGTCTTGGTGGTTCCAAACTTCTTCCATTTAAGAATGATGGAGGCCACTGTGTTCTTGGGGACCTTCAATGCTGCAGAAATGTTTTGGTACCCTTCCCCATATCTGTGCCTCGACACAATCCTGTCTCGGAGCTCCACGGACAATTCCTTCGACCTCATGGCTTGGTTTTTGCTCTGACATGCACTGTCAACTGTGGGACCTTATATGTGCCTTTCCAAATCATGTCCAATCAATTGAATTTACCACAGGTGGACTCCAATCAAGTTGTAGAAACATCTCAAGGATGATCAATGGAAACAGGATGCAACTGAGCTCAATTTCAAGTCTCATAGCAAACGGTGTGAATACTTATGTAAATAAGGTATTTCATAAAAAAAAAAATATATATATATATAAATACAGATATGCATCTGTTGGTCCCAGATACTTTAAAAAGGAAAGGGTGTGGTCTGGATCAGAAAACCAGTCATTATCTGGTGTAACCACCATTTTCCTCATGCAGCGCGACACATCTCCTTCGCATAGATTTGATCAGTCTGTTGATTGTGGCCTGTGGAATGTTGTCCCCCTCCTCTTCAATGGCTGTGCGAAGTTGCTGGATATTGGCGGGAATTGGAACACCCTGTCGTACACGTCGATCCAGATCATCCCAAACATGCTCAATGGGTGACATGTCTGGTGAGTATGCAGGCCATGGAAGATCTGGGACATTTTCAGTTTCCAGGAATTGTGTACAGATCCTTGCGACATGGGGACGTGCTTTATCATGCTGAAGCGTGAGGTGATGGCGGCGGATGAATAGCACGACAATGGGCCTCAGGATCTGGTCACGGTATCTCTGTGCATTCAAATTGCCATCGATAAAATGCAATTGTGTTCGTTGTCCATAGCTTATACATGCCCATACCATAACCCCACCACCACCATGGGGCCCTCTGTTCACAGCATTGACATCTGCAAACCGCTCGCCCACACGACGCCATACACACTTTCTTCCATCTGCCCGGTACAGTTGAAACCATGTTTCATCCGTGAAGAGCACACTTCTCCAGCGTGCCAGTGGCCATCGAAGGTGAGCTTTTTCTTGCTGAAGTCGGTTACGACGCCAAACTGCTGTCAGGTTAAGACCCTGGTGAGGACAACGAGCACACAGATGAGCTTCCCTGAGATGGTTTCTGACAGTTTGTGCAGAAATTATTCGGTTGTGCAAACCTCCAGTTTCATCAACTGTCCAGGTGGCTGGTCTCAGACAATCCCGCTGGTGAAGAAGCCAGATGTAGAGGTCCTGGGCTGGCGTGGTTACACATGGTCTGCGGTTGTGAGGCTGGTTGGACGTATTGCCAAATTCACTAAAGCGACGTTGGAGGCAGCTTATGGTAGAGAAATTAACATTCAATTCTCTGGCAACAGCTCTGGTGGACATTCCTGCAGTTAGCATGCCAAATGCACACCCCCTCAACTTGAGACATCTGTGGCATTGTCTTGTGTGACAAACATTTTAGAATGTCCTTTTATTGTTCCCAGCACAAGGTGCACATGTGTAATGATCATACTGTTTATCAGCTTCTTGATATGCCACAACTGTCAGGTGGATGGATTATCTTGGCAAAGGAGAAATGCTCACTAACAGGGATGTAAACAAATTTGTGCACAACAGTTGAGAGAAATGAGCTTTTTTTTGCGTATGGAACTTTTCTGGGATCTTTTATTTCAGCTCATAATACATGGGACCAACACTTTACATGTTGCGTTCAGTATACTATGGCTTCACAAAAAGAACAGCCGTGTTCTGAAGCAACAATGGTTTCCATTGTTCATACCATTCTAGGCCTTTCTTCATTGTTCTCCATTCGTTCAAGCCTTCAACGCGAGCTCTGCTTCAGTAGATAGGTATAAGCTATACTGAAAATTATTTCAGCTTTAGACTTTGTGAAAATCAACGTACACGGTAAGATTCTTGAATTTGACATTAGTTGAGATTGGTCAATCTGCATAAGGATATTGTGTTGAATTGACTGACTTAGATTAACAGCCTATATTATGACCAGAATTGATAGCTATCATCATACAGTACATTACAAGTTGTATGCATTTATTAGTCACTACACAGTCTCTCTAATTATTGTCTTAAGTGTGATTATTCATAACATTCATAAGAGATCCAGACAATGTAATATTGACCAACAATCTGAAGTTGACCAGCGCTTTGTCTTTTCCTTGCAGCCTGAGGTGAGGAGAATGAGCCAGAAAGAGGGACTGAGGGCCAACTCCTCTAAATTCACTCTGGAGGGAGAGCCCTTTCGCATCCTGGGGGGCTCTATCCACTACTTCCGCGTCCCCAGAGCCTACTGGGAGGACCGGCTGCTGAAGATGAGGGCCTGTGGGGTCAACACTCTCACCACGTAGGGACACACAGAACACCTCATGTCCTCTTATACCACCACTCACTGCTGCTCTACTATGGAGAGATACTGAGAATGACTGGTTTATCTTTCAGATATGTGCCATGGAACCTTCATGAGCCAGAGAGGGGGGTTTTCAACTTCCAGGACCAGTTGGATTTAAAGTAAGGAAGACATTGATATGTTTGATAGAGCTGTTGAGCTTTGTCTCTCTGTTTTTCTCTGTGTCTCTCAGGGCATACATCAGCCTAGCAGCAGAGTTGGGGCTCTGGGTGATTCTGCGGCCAGGACCCTACATCTGTGCTGAATGGGACTTAGGAGGGCTCCCCAGGTTGTTTCCATTACTTTAAGCCTTTAACTTTGTAGTCCAATTTTACACAAGTCAACATGTTGAATGTCCAATGAGACAGCCTTATAACGGTTATTTTCCTTTCAGCTGGCTGTTACGTGACAAAAACATGAAGTTGAGAACAACCTACCCTGGCTTCACAGAAGCAGTGACCTCTTTCTTTGACGAACTCATCCCAATCATTAAGCCTCTACAAGTATGTAAATAAGTTACCTTATTATCCAAGTTATCAAGTCCTGATATCTGTTAGAGAGGTTCGCAGGGGCATTAGTGGGCTAGCTGTCAATAAATGTTGTCCTCTTTGTTTTACAGTTTGAAGTGGGAGGCCCCATCATTGCAGTTCAAGTGGAGAATGAGTATGGCTCATATGCAAAGGATGAACGATACATGTCTTTTATAAAGGAGGTACTTTGATACTGTACTGTTTCTCACCATCTGCATCATACTGTATGCCCAGTATAGACTTTTGCAGTGACCTCTAAATGTATAGTAAAACTGTACTCTCATTTGGCAGGCTCTACTATCCAGAGGGATCAATGAACTTCTGCTGACATCAGACAACCGGGAGGGGCTAAAATGTGGAGGAGTGGACGGAGGTAATGAATTTCTATTGCTAGATCTTGAGATTTGGTAATTTACATTTACATTTAAGTCATTTAGCAGACGCTCTTATCCAGAGCGACTTACAAATTGGTACATTCAACTTAGGATAGCCAGTGGGACAACCACATCTTGATCACAGTAAGTACATTTCTTTAAACAAGTCAGTGCTAGCAGGTGAAATAAGTCAGGTGTTAGTTTAGACAAAAGACAGTGGTAGTAAAGGGGGGGTAGAAGGATTAGTATTATACTATTCCAGGTATTCCTTAAAGAGGTAGGGTTTCAAGTGTCTCCGGAAGGTGGTCAGTGACTCTGCTGTCCTGGCGTCATGGGGGAGCTTGTTCCACCATTGGGGTGCCAGAGCAGCGAATAGCTTTGACTGGGCTGAGCGGGAACTGTGCTTCCGTAGAAGTAGGGGGGCTAGCAGGCCAGAGGTGGATGAACGTAGTGCCCTCGTTTGGGTGTAGGATCAGAGACTGAAGGTAAGGAGGTGCCGTTCCCCTCACAGCTCCGTAGGCAAGCACCATGGTTTGGTAGTAGATGCGAGCTTCAACTGGAAGCCAGTGGAGTGTGCGGAGGAGCGGGGTGACGTGAGAGAATTTGGGAAGGTTGAACACCAGACGGGCTGCAGCGTTCTGGATAAGTTGCAGGGGTTTAATGGCACAGGCAGGGAGCCCAAGCCAACAGCGAGTTGCAGTAATCCAGACGGGAGATGACAAGTGCCTGGATTAGGACCTGTGCCGCTTTCTGTGTAAGATAGGGTCGTACTCTGCGAATGTTGTAGAGCATGAACCTGCAGGATCGGGTACACCGCTTTGATGTTAGCAGAGAACGACAGGGTGTTGTCCAGGGTCACGCCAAGGTTCTTTGCACTCTGGGAGGAGGACACAATGGAGTTGTCAACCGTGATGGCGAGATCATGGAGCGGGCAGTCCTTCTCCGGGAGGAAGAGCAGCTCCGTCTTGCCGAGGTTCAGCTTGAGGTAGTGATCCGACATCCACACTGATATGTCTGCCAGACATGCAGAGATGCGATTCGCCACCTGGTTATCAGAAGGGGGAAAGGAGAAAATGAATTGTGTGTCGTCTGCGTAGCAATGATAGGAGAGACCATGTGAGGATATGACAGAGCCAAGTGACTTGGTGTATAGAGAGAATAGGAGAGGGCCTAGAACTTAGCCCTGGGGGACACCAGTGGTGAGAGCACATGGTGCGGAGACAGATTCTCGCCACGCCACCTGGTAGGACACAATCCAAGAGTGAGCAGCGCCGGAGATGCCCAACTCGGAGAGGGTGGAGAAGAGGATCTGATGGTTCACAGTATCAAAGGCAGCAGATAGGTCTTGAAGGATAAGAGCAGAGGAGAGAGAGTTAGCTTTGGCAGTGCGGAGAGCCTCCGTGACACAGAGAAGAGCAGTCTCAGTTGAATGACCAGTCTTGAAACCTGACTGGTTAGGATCAAGAAGGTCATTTTGAGAGAGATAGCAGGAGAGTTGGCTAGAGACTGCACGCTCAAGAGTTTTGAAGAGAAAATAAAGATGGGATACTGGTCTGTAGTTGTTGACATCGGAGGGATCGAGTGTAGGTTTTTTGAGGGGTGCAACTCTAGCCCTCTTGAAGACAGAAGGGACATAGCCAGCGGTCAAGGATGAGTTGATGAGCGAGGTGAGGTAAGGGAGAAGGTCTCCGGAAATGGTCTGGAGAAGAGAGGAGGGGATAGGGTCAAGCGGGCAGGTTGTTGAGCGGCCGGCCATCACAAGTCGCAAGATTTCATCCAGAAGGGGTGAGCCATCCTCAGGAAAGGAACTTATCAAGGCGTCAAGCTCATTGATGAACTCTCCAAGGGAACATAATCAAGCAGGATCCTTCCAAGACTATTAGTTGACATGTACAGTATAGCACATCGCTGTGCCATTTGATTTCAATAGAGTAATGATGCTGCTAGAAAATATCCTTATTTAGTCTACCTTTGTTTTACTTGAACCCCTCCTCTTTTAAGTTCTCAAGACGGTAAACCTTCAAAGACTGGCCTATGGAACCATACAATATTTATCATACCTGCAGGTAATGATTCTCTATTTTCTTCTATTGTGTCTTGCATCTGAGAAAACATAGTGGTCCAAAGGCTAAGTGTGACTTTGCCCTTACTGTAGCCCCAGAAACCTCTGCTTGTAATGGAGTACTGGTCTGGGTGGTTCGATGTCTGGAGTGAATCTCACCATGTGTTTCCAGCAGAGGGTAAGTTTAATTACAAACTAGGTTAAGATCATGTCATATTTACATTTTAGTCATTTAGCAGACGCTCATTTAGCAGACTTACAGTAGTGAGTGCATACTTTTTCATTTTTTGCTTGTATTGGTCCCCCGTGGGAATTGAACCCACAACCCTGGCGTTGCAAGTGCCATGCTCTACCAACTGAGCCACATGGGACCATCCATCCATCAATCTAAGGACTGTATGAGTGGCCACCGTCTAGCATTGATTCTGTCTCCTCCTCTGATAGACATGTTGGCTGTGGTGTCACAGATACTGGAGCGAGGTGTATCCATCAACCTCTATATGTTCCATGGTGGAACCAGCTTTGGGTTCATGAATGGAGCTGTGGCAAACCTTGGCACCTACAAACCTCAGGTCGGCAGCTATGGTAGGTTTTATGTATCCTATGAACGGACATTTCCCAAATGTAATATTACTTGCAAAGAAAAACGTTGTCATCTGGATCTTTTTTTTTTTTTTAGATTATGATGCTCCGTTATCCGAGGCCGGAGATTACACCACCAAGTATCAGCTCTTGAGGAATTTATTCAGCCAGTTTCACAGTATGCTTTCTCTTTCAAACATTCACATACAATACTATTTGCGTTTTGGAAAACAACAGGCACCATATGTCATTTGAGAAAATGTCTAACTTGGCACATGTATCTGTGTGACTCAGGTGAGAAGCTTCCTGAGGCTCCTTCTCTCCAGGCCAGGAGAGTGTATGAGCCTGTCGTCATTCAGCAGCATCTGTCACTGTGGGAGAGCCTGCAGTTTACTGAGAAGGTGAGCAGCTAGGGGCCAAGTAGCATGCTGTCTACTGTGACCTGGCAATGCTCTATCTCTTCAAGGGTTGATGTTGATTCCATAATGGTCTTAATTTAATTGAATGCACTACATTGAATTGTTTCATCATCAAGCCCTTGAAGTCAGAGGGGCCTGTCAACATGGAGAACCTTCCTGTCAACAATAACAATGGTCAGTCCTATGGCTACACTCTATATGAGACCACCATCAGCAGTGGAGGCCTTCTGAACTCCAAGAAAAATGTTAAAGACAGGGCCCTGGTGAGTACAGACAGACACAGCTAAATGGCATGAATGTACTATACTGAATGGTGCACACCGTATGACAATACATCATTTGTACTAATAAAGTTGGCTTGTCTTCTAGGTGTTTGTGGACAGACACTTTGTTGGAATCCTGGACTATAAAACGGTGGAGTTTGCACTGCCTGATGGGAAGGTATGGTGATACTCTGCATTTAGATTCAGGCTATAGGTGTGCTGCTTTCTAAACTGGCTAGTTAATATTCAACACCATGTTAGAGGTGAAAGCTTCTGGTGATGCTGATAAATGCGTTTGTTACTGAGGTGCCAGGATGATGCCAACAGAAAGTTTTCAGACAAACGTTGTTCTAACAAAGAGGAATCACAATCACTAACTTTGCACCTGCCTGTTAATGGAAAACAAGTCCATGCTGCTTATCCTATAGCACAGCGGAAGATTGGACTTGATCAATTACTCTCTGCAGTCCAACTGAAAGCCACGTTTCCTCTATTGTCTCTGGGTACTATGCATTGTTGACTGTAGTGCTTCAATTAGTGGTTTCCACATGTTTTATGTATTTTCCATTGAAGGGGGAGAGAACATTGAGTTTACTTGTGGAGAACTGTGGAAGAGTGAATTATGGGAAAGCCCTGGATGATCAGCGTAAAGGTATGCTATTCTTAGTTACTACCACTTTAACAATCAGAATTCCATGGCAGAAAGCATATGTTGAAGGAACTGTAGACCTTCAGGTGTAATCCTTCATTGCTGTGACAACTGTACATAGTCATTAAAGTGGATAGACCTGAATTCTCAACAAATAGCGACAGTATCCATGAGGTCTTGGAATAATTGTATTGTTACTCGCCCATGCAGCTCTTAATCTTTAGTCACATATCACCCTGTTCTAGGTCTGGTGGGAGACATTGTATTGAACCACGTGCCTCTGAAGGGCTTTACAATCTACTGTTTGGATATGAAACCAAACTTCCTAAAGAGGTTTGTCCTGATCATTTAATTTATACATTCTGACTCTTACAGTTTATCATTTAAGTGATAATGCCCGAAAAGCCGGTGTTTGGAGGATATATTGGCACAGGTGTTGTTAGGCAGCACACCTATAGCTTGAATCTAAACGCACCGGCTTTGAGGGCATTATTACTTTTATACAACGGGTTTCCAACATATTCAAATAATGATTGACATATTTTCATAAACTTTATTTTGATTAATTAATTTATACTATTTCATCCTTCCACGAGATATAGTCCTGACACAAATCTAGAATTGCTACCCAAGCCAGCTAGTCATTCGTTCTATCGGCTCGCTTGCCAGAGATGCGACCCAGTTGTTACGTTTTTTTGTTCTGTATCTATGGACGCGACCCAATCGTTCGTTCTAAATGTTCTATTGCCGTACTGGCTGGCAACGTTCTTATCCCTTGCTTGCTAGCTAGCCAACTACGGCTAATTTACAGTCACATCAAACAGTGCAGCCAGAATAACAGCAAAGTAGCTGCATTTGCATTTGTTTAAGCTGTTTTCTTGTGACATTTATTTGGATACATTCATAAGAATGAGCTACTGCTGCTCGATTTCACCTGTCATAGAAAATGTGCGCTCTCATCAGGACACTGTTGTTCAGAGGAGCTAGCCAACAACACAGCTAACACAATCACTTCAAACTGAAGCTGGAAAGACTACAAACTAGCTGCATTCGTTTAGTTTTACCTGTTTTTTTGTATTGACATTTCTTTGTATAGGTCCATAAAAATTATGCTGATTCATGATTTCGACTGGCTGAGAAAAGCTGCCTGCCTGTCTGTCTCATCCCGCATTCCGACTCCTACACATTCATTACTATGGGACAGCTGGAGATCGAATTTCAATATTGAAACAATGTTGCAAATGTCAGAGAGACAGACTGCATGTTTTATACAAATCTCCGCTACTGAAAACCAATTGCTAGTCTAAAAGAAATGGGAGATAATGTCTAGATGCTTTTTACAGTGGAGATCAAGTTTATAAATTGTCTGGTTGGGCTGAGACAGTGGATCGCGTAGTGAGATGGAACAGAGTAAATAGGCATTTCAACGTCATAGCTTTCGCTGGTGGTAACTTGTGGAATAGACACTGGCTGGAATACGGTTTTAACCAACCAGGATTAGACCCACCCGTTGTATAACTGTTGTCATTGTACGTTTAACTGGCATATCAGGTTGTCTTAAAGGCCCAGTGCAGTCATAAACAGTATTATTCTGTGTTTTATACAGTACCAGTCAACATTTTGGACACGTCTACTCATTCAAGGGTTTTTCATTATTTTTACATTGTAGAATAATAGTGAAGACATCAAAACTATGAAATAACACATATGGCATCATGTAGTAACCAAAAAAGTGTTAAACAAATCAAAATATATGTTATATTTGAGGTTCTTCAAAGTAGCCACCCTTTGCCTTGATGACAGCTTTGCACACTCTTGGCATTCTCTCAACCAGCTTCATGAGGTAGTCACCTGGAATGCATTTCAATTAACAGGTGTGCCTTGTTAAAAGTTAATTTGTGGAATTTCTTTCCATCTTAATGCGTTTGAGCCAATCAATTGTGTTGTGACAAGGTAGGGTTGGTATACAGAAGATAGCCCTATTTGGTATAAGACCAATTCCATATTATGGTAAGAACCGCTCAAATAAGCAAAGAGAAACAACAGTCCATCATTACTTCAAGACATGACGGTCAGTCAATCCCGAAAATTTCAAGAACTTTGAAAGTTTCTTCAAGTGCAGTTGCAAAAACCATCAAGCACTATGATGAAACTGGCTCTCATGAGGACCGTCACAGGAAAGGAAGACCCAGAGTTAAATCTGCTGCAGAGGATACGTTTTAGAGTTAACTGCACCTTAGGTTGCAGCCCAAATAAACCGCTGTGTCTTTGTGAGACGCATAGTAGGTGAACGGATGATCTCTGCATTAGGGGTGGACGATATGAACATAAATTCATATCACAATATTTTCCACTGTCCGGACGATAAAGATATAATATCACGATATACTGTACGATTTGTTTAAAAAAATGTATGAGCCCTTCAAAGTTAATAAATGACAAAATATTGCTTTTAACATTATAGAAACAGAAAGGGGGCATTGCAAAATGTTTACTTCTGTGGTAAATCTGTGCAAACATGAAACAAACAAAGTTATGAGTTAAATAAAAAATATAAATATTTAAAGTACTCGGGATGTAAAGAGAATGTGGGGAAGAAATTCCTGCCAAATATAAGTAGTGCAGTCTTTTTTTCAGCATAAAATTCAAGTTGTAAACCTTTTCAAACTAACTTCTTCAAGCATTAACCAGACAGTCTGTATGTTTCTCAGTTCACAATGTAACAATTCACTGCCTCCCTCTTCACAAGTTCTGTGCCAGGAACATCAGCCTATTGACAGTTTCTGGCTTCAAAGTTGCCCTGTGGCGTGTGACCACATTGCCCCCAGTGCTAAATGCTATCTCAGAGGGTGAACTTGTGGCAGGGACGCATAAGTATTTATTTGTCAGACAACTCACCTGTGGGAAGTTGGATGCGTGAACTCGCCACCACTCCAAAGGATCAGCCTCACTGTCTGCTGCAATCATCAGAGTGTAGCTGTCCAGCTCTTGCTCGATGACCTGTCTCTGGGTTCTTAAGGCAGGTGCACTACTGGTTTTCTTAAAGCTCCCAAGGCTCTTCTTGGACTTATTTGCTGGTTGTGGAGCAGTGGCAGCTTCTTTCTCTCTCTCACTCTGGACCTCTTCAACAGAGAAGTCTCCCACGGCTGTGTTCCCTACCAGGAGGGCTTCTATCTCTGAGGCAGCTCTCACCTTCACCTCCACCAGCTTCTCAGTGGTCATGTAGGTGGTCTTGAACCTTGGGTCCAGAAAGGTAGCCATGGTGAGCAGCTCATCGGTTTCAGTGTCGATGTATTTGTCATTCAGGTAATTGAGCACCCTCATCTTAATCTCTCGGGTCAGTTTGGCTTCGCCATCATTTGATTTCAGAACCTCCGTCTTGAACAAATGGAGGACCGGCTTCAGATTGGACACACTCGCGTATATCTCTCCTGACAGGGCATCTGTGAAATCCTTGGAGGGGCTTAAGTGCTGCCGTGATAGATTCAAAGATCTCAATGTCTTGCCAGGAGGGTGCAAGGTGCCGTGTTTTTTTGTCTGCTGCCAGGACTTGTGTGATGGCCTTTTCCTGATCCAGGCCTCTTTCCATCATCTGCAGTCGAGATCCCCACCTTTTCGGGGATTCCATGATGAGCTTGTGGAGGGGCAGGCTCAGTTTATTCTGTGCACTTGTCAGGGCCTTCTGCTTCTTCCAACTATAGGAAAATGTGCTGACCAATGTGCTGTTTTGGACACTCCTCTCTGAAAAATTAAAAGTTGAAAAATAATTACATATGAATCACAATTATTCAATATAAATAACATTGCATCTGCTATAATTACAACAATTTACAGCATGGACACTGGGCATGATTACAAATTAAATCCATCTATAGATGTACATACAACTGTTGTGATTAAGAGAGCTATGTTGCTTTAGAAAATGGGATAATTTACTGAGTAGGCTATTTATTATTGAAAGAGAAAGGATGGATTCATATATTGAAACCATAGGCTAATGTATAAATTATAAATAAAAGCAATGTAATCCATGTTATGTTTGGATATTGCACACATTTACAAATTACAAGAATTAAAGATTTGCATAGCTGTATATATTCGGCTTAACGTAAAAGAAGGATCAGACAGTGTAGTCAGCTATAACTTTAAACAGAGGAGATAAGGAATACAACAGTTATTCAGCATTTTAAGTTATGTTGTTTTTAAGTTACGTTATTTTTCTACCTAGCTCTGTGTTTTGGACGTTGAAACCTACCAATCGCAATGTGTAGCCTGTGTCCGAAACACCCTAGTCTTGTCCATTTGTTCAGCTCCAATGTTCGATCCGCTGTGGGTAGACATACAGTGAGGGGGAAAAAAAGTATTTGATCCCCTGCAGATTGTTGTATGTTTGCCCACTAAGACATGATCAGTCTATAATTGTAATGGTAGGTTTATTTGAACAGTGAGAGACAGAATAACAACAAAAAAATCCAGAAAAACGCATGTTGTAAATTGATTAGCATTTTAATGAGGGAAATAAGTATTTGACCCCTCTGCAAAACATGACTTAGTACTTGGTGGCAAAACCCTTGTTGGCAATCCGAGAGATCAGACGTTTCTTGTAGTTGGCCACCAGGTTTGCGCATATCTCAGGAGGGATTTTGTCCCACTCCTCTTTGCAGATCTTCTCCAAGTCATTAAGGTTTCGAGGCTGACGTTTGGCAACTCAAACCTTCAGCTCCCTCCACAGATTTTCTATGGGATTAAGGTCTGGAGACTGGCTAGGCCACTCCAGGACCTTAATGTGCTTCTTCTTGAGCCACTCCTTTGTTGCCTTGGTCGTGTGTTTTGGGTCATTGTCATGCTGGAATACCCATCCACGACCCATTTTCAATGCCCTGGCTGAGGGAAGGAGGTTCTCACCCAAGATTTGACGGTACATGGCCCCCTCCATCTTCCCTTTGATGCGGTGAAGTTGTCCTGTCCCCTTAGCAGAAAAACACCCCCAAAGCATAATGTTTCCACCTCCATGTTTGATGGTGGGGATGGTGTTCTTGGGATCATAGGCAGCATTCCTCCTCCAAACACGGCGAGTTGAGTTAATGCCAAAGAGCTCGATTTTGGTCTCATCTGATCACAACACTTTCACCCAGTTCTCCTCTGAATCATTCAGATGTTCATTGGCAAACTTCAACGGGCCTGTATATGTGCTTTCTTGAGCAGGGGGACCTTGCGGGTGCTGCCGGATTTCAGCCGTTCATGGCGTAGTGTGCTACCAATTGTTTTCTTGGTGACTATGGTCCCAGCTGCCTTGAGATCATTGACAAGATCCTCCCATGTAGTACTTGGCTGATTCCTCACCGTTCTCATGATCATTGCAACTCCACGAGGTGAGATCTGGCATGGAGCCCCAGGCCGAGGGAGATTGACAGGTCTTTTGTGTTTCTTCCATTTGCGAATAATCGCACCAACTGTTGTCACCTTCTCACCAAGCTGCTTGGCGATGGTCTTGTAGCCCATTCCAGCCTTGTGTAGGTCTACAATCTTGTCCCTGACATCCTTGGAGAGCTCTTTGGTCTTGGCCATGGTGGAGAGTTTGGAATCTGATTGATTGCTTCTGTGGACAGGTGTCTTTTATACAGGTAACAAACTGAGATTAGGAGCACTCCCTTTAAGAGTGTGCTCCTAATCTCAGCTCGTTACCTGTATAAAAGACACCTGGGAGCCAGAAATCTTTCTGATTGAGAGGGGGTCAAATACTTATTTCCCTCATTAAAATGCAAATCAATTCATAAAATTTTTACATGTGTTTTTCTGGATTTTTTTTGCTGTTATTCTGTCTCTCACTGTTCAAATAAACCTACCATTAAAATTATAGACTGATCATTTCTTTGTCAGTGGGCAAACGTACAAAATCAGCAGGGGATCAAATACTTTTTTCCCTTACTGTACATACTTGACGAGACTCTTTCAAGCCCAAAGATGAAAGTGCCTCCCTCAGCCCAGCTGTAATTATTTATCCGGTGTGGTCGTCTGGGAAATAAGAGGTTTGAAGGCATTTGCTTTACAGCATCCAGTTGTCGTCAATGTAATGAATCGTGAGGCTAATGTATGGCTCTGTGGTCCAGCTTGACCATATGTCGGCGGTGGTAGAGAAGAATGCAGCGTAATGGATTTGGTTGGCAACTCTGTACCAACATTCTGTGTAGAGTTCTGTTATTTACGGCTCGGGATCTTGGGTCTAGAGTTCGAATCAACTTTCTGAAACCGTCTTTCTCCACCGTTTGAATTGGTTCCATGTCTTTCGCTTTGTGATACGTAATTGTACTCGTTATCTCATTCCACTTCTTGCTCTTCTTGTCATAGGAAGTACCACTAATGAATTTATGCCTTGAGTGATAGCTGAGTGCGGGTCTGGCTTGAAGATGTCTTGGGACTTGCTTTGCTGCTCCGGGGGTTTGTTGCACGCATTCTGGTAGATTCTTCATATTCGCGCACATGCAGGGTTTTCAGGTGGTGAAAAAGATTGCTGGTGTTTCCACCTTTGGCTAGCACAATGCGTTGACACAACTTGCACAACAAACTACTGTTTGTTGGTCGAGGTCGGATATCTTAAAGCCAAACCAATTCCAAATGACAGAGGAGGCCCCCTTTTTTTGAACCAATGCTTCGTCGTCCTGCAAATCAACCTCCATAGCTTTATTTTCTTTGTCTTCAGTCATCCTCAATGCTTGATTTTCGGACACTTTTGCTAACGAAAGGAGTTTACTTCACTAAATGTTCGCTTACTCTGCAGTTGTGCATGCTTGTTTGTTGACTGATTGGCAGGCAGATTGCGTGTAATGTCCATGCTTCTAGTTTTTAAGGCTATGTTTTTAGTAAAAGATAAACAATTTGAACTAGCCCACTAGACTGTATCACTCGACTGAAATTTTGAACGAAACAAAAACGCCTTATTTTATTCATTTATCATGATAGGCACCATATGGCAAAATCCAGATCATGGCATAAAGTCATACCGGTATTCCGGTTCATACCGGTATTCTGCCCACCCCTACTCTGCATGTGTGGTTCCCACCGTAAAGCATGGAGGAGGAGGTGTGATGGTGTGGGGGTGCTTTGCTGGTGACACTGTCTGTGATGTATTTAGAATTCAAGACACACTTAACCAGCATGGCTACCACAGCATTCTGCAGCGATACGCCATCCCATCTGGTTTGCGCTTAGTGGGACTATCATTTGTTTTTCAACAGGACAATGACCCAACACACCTCCAGGCTGTGTAAGGGCTATTTGACCAAGAAGGAGAGTGATGGAGTGCTGCACCAGATGACCTGGCCTCCAAAATCACCCGACATCAACCCATTTGAGATGGTTTAGGATGAGTTGGACCGCAGTGAAGGAAAAGCAGCCAACAATTGCTCACCATATGTGGGAACTCCTTCAAGACTGTTAGAAAAGCATTCCTTATGAAGCTGGTTGAGAGAATGCCAAGAGTGTGCAAAGCTGTCATCAAGGCAAAGGGTGGCTTTGAAGAATCTAAAATATATTTAGAATAGTTTAATACTTTTTTTAGTTACTACATGATTCCATATGTGAAGTTTTGATGTCTTCACACTTATTCTACAATGTAGAAAATAAAGACAAAACCCTTGAATGAGTAGGTGTGTTCAAACTTTGGACTAGTACTGTAAATATTTCCACACTGAGGTTGCAATAATATTGTGAAAATTAGCATAATGCACTTTTAGTGTAAGAGCTGTTTGAAAAGATCACCTGAAATTTCAGCCTGTTTTGGTGGGACGGAGTTTTGGCCTTCCATGGTGATATCACCATGCGGTAAATTTAGTTAATAGACCAATAAGAAAGAGTTCCAAACCTCTCAGCCAATGACAGCTAATTTTCAGTTTGTCCCTCCCCACTTAGACCATTCCCAAACAGTCCTAACAAAATTCTTGCTTGAGAAATTGCCCTTTGCTAAGAAGCTATTTTTGTTTATTTTTTAATTGAAAACAATCACAGCAGGGTCCTTAATTGTTACCCATAAATTATTTCATATTGAGATAAAAATGTCTGCATTTGACCTTTTAAAGTTTAGATGATTCATATTGTAATGCTGCCACATCTTGTTTAAATGGGTGATCTCCTCCCATGTTTCAGACTGAGTGCAGCAAGCCAGTGGAACTCAGTCCCCCAGAAGCCTTCCTTCCCAGGGTTCTTCCAGTGCAGGCTGTATGTGGACGGCCATCCCAGAGACACCTTCATCAGACTGCCTGTGTGTAAAGCAGCCCAACAGGCTCTGTGGTTATGATAGAGAGCACCACCTGTCCATACTGTATCCCTGCTGGTTTATTTGTATAGTGTGGTAGAGCTATCTCTGGTTTATTGGTGTATATGGTAGTAGGCCCATCCCTCATCAGAAACACATAGTGATGAAAGAAGTTCCCAGAGAAACTCTAAACTCTGATTGTCAAGTCACTGATTAGTGTTTCCATCCACAGGGCTGGAGTAAAGGAGTGGTCTTTATCAACGGGCAGAATCTTGGACGCCACTGGTCCATCGGTCCCCAGCAAACCCTTTACCTCCCTGGACCTTGGCTTAAAAGTGGAAATAATCAGGTAGAACTAAAAAAAGCTCCTTTAAATTCCAATAGATATAGGGTTCTAGTCTTCTGATGTGTTTTCAGAAGTTGTTCTCATGTTTACAGTACCATGTATTCTTATAAAGTGTGTATCAGCCTTTATTTGTACAGTTTATCCTCAAATCAAGACATTGATACATAAACTGGCTAGAATAGTTTGTTTAATGGATCCCTGTTTTACTTGTTTTCATTGTTTTAGATCATCGTGTTTGAGGAACAGAAAGCTGATGACAAATTAGTATTTGTTGAAAATCCTGATCATGGAAAAACAATTGATGTATACAAACATCCATTTTGTGTTCTGCTTTGAAATTATACATATTTTAAATAAAACGATGACGCAGCAAAATCTTATAACATAGTAATAACATGGTAAAATACAAAAGCTATGCTTACCTTAACACTATGTACTGTATGTAAAGTTGTTGTTTTTGTTATGGGATGGGTCTATCACTGAATGTGATGATAGACATGTCTTTTTATGTAGCCTAGAGCACAGTCATAAGGCAAGTTACATACATTGAAAGACAAGACCTTGAGTGGCGGAATGCAGACTATTACAACAAAGAAAGGTGAGATGGAAGAGATAAAGTACAACAAAGTTCCAAGATCCTTAAGGTAAAATGCAGGTGTGTAAAACATTCCAGTTTCAGTGCCTTACTCTAGTTGCCCGGATAGGCAGTGTTATTGTCCATCTAAAATGAAATATAGATGAATAAACAAACCACTTGAATGCACATATACAGTATGTGTGTCTTGAGTACTGTTATGCATAATTTCGCTGTTAGGTTGACAAAAAATGCATTTTTTTATATATGTACATGAACACAATATAGTTAGTAGCGCATCTTATGCTCATCTTGAATGGTAAAGATCCAGTTATTAATGTGTAAACATTAACCTACAATATTTTCAGGACCGGACATTTTATTTTTTCTTTATCATAAATTATTATAAGGTTATTAAAGAGAAGAACGTAGTTTACAGTAGGATAATACCAATCTGGCATGCCCCTTCGTGTATGGGGGCTTTTTATTGGATGAATTGCTTGTATATCATTGATTTATATATTTTTATCACAGATTATCCATTATATTCACCTCTGTTTATTTTCTATCCTGATTTTCCTAGTCACTTTTACACCTACCTACATGTACATACTACCTAAATTACCTCAATTACCTCTTACCCCTGCTCATTGACTCGGTACTGGTACTCCTTGTAAATTATATAGTCTTGTTATTGTTATTCTATTGTGTTACTATTTCATTAGGATTTCTTTTGCTAATTTTTCTTACTTTTTAACTCTGCATTGTAGTCAGTATGCCTATATCATAAGAATTAATGAAAACAAACATTTTTGGGGGGTCTTAATTTAAGGTTAGGGTTTAAAATAAATTGTTAAGAAGATACATTCTGGAAATGGGCGAGGTTTTATGACTTTGTGGCTGTGGTAACTATTGATGAGGAGGCACAACTCTGATATAAAGTGTTTTTTCTCAAAGTTGCCGGGATGTCACGTGTCCTACTTACAGTATATCGGTACACTCTTAACAACCTTATGTTTTGGAAACATCTATTCAATCAAATAAGCCACACACAGCAAATAAGCCATGCAATTTTTTGTTAACCAAATTCGACACTCATAGAGTACCACAGTATGAGTCATAATACCCATAAAACCTAGCAGTCAAACAGTGAAATGGTTCCAGTCGTTTTTCTACCATTCATTTTTCCCATAGGGGATATTAGAAAGATGTAAAATAAGGGCTGTGTTTTGTGTAGGCTTACCCTGGCGTGACGCTTTGATCACCACGTAAATCTCTCTAGGACAAGGAGACTTTTATCAATATATTCGCCTGTATTTACCCCCCAAAAATGAAAATGCTAATTAGCTGCTAATGTGTCTATCATAAAGAACCACAAATGCCATGATAATAATAATATGCCATTTAGCAGATGCTTTTATCCAAAGCGACTTACAGTCATGTGTGCATACATTTTTACGTATGGGTGGTCCCGGGGATCGAACCCACTACCCTGGCGTTACAAGCGCCATGCTCTACCAATCGAGCTACAGAGGACCACACTGTAGCTCAATGATCTGGACAAGCCTGCCGAATCGAGGCAAAGGTAAGAATCTCTGGATTAACTAATGTTAGATAAATGTAGCAATGAATAAATTGTCTACATTTCTTTAAATGGACAATTCTGTGAACTGTCTTGTGCAAGTTTTTAAATTGACACAATACCTGTTAGCAAAGGTGTCAGCTAGAGATTAGGGTGCAGGAGCTTGCAGGGATTTGTAGTTTTGCATGATGTCTACTTTAACGCAAATTAGCATTTTCGAATCTGAAAGTAAATAGAGACAAATATATTGATAAAAGTCACCTTGTTGGAGAGAGATTTACATGGTTATCAAAGTGTCAAGCCAGGGTAAGCCTACACGAAACACAGCCCATATTTTTAAGTGTTTCTAAAATCCCCTATGGGAAAAATGAATGGAACCATTTTCCTGTTTGACTGCTAGGTTTTATGGGTATTATGACACCTCCAGTGTGGGGCTCAATGAACACCCATACAAAAACACGCTTGGTGAGAGAAGAAAACCGAAGCAAAAAAAATAAAAAACTTGCCATTTTGCGACATTTGCGGAACTTCGTGTCGACAGTGAGCAATAGCAATCATCGGTCATTTCAAATCGAAATACGGTGATTAGTTTCATTGCATGAACGGGTGGATTATGGTTTTCCACGCGTTTCTTGTACAGTGTGCTAGTAAATGGTGCATTTGAAATGCCTGTCTATAAATTGTACTGCTACTAGGTTGTACTTTTGATGAACAGCAGCCTAAACTGGAAAGTTATCCGATCAGGATAAAATATTGGCTACTGCTTTATTTTGACACATTGCCGTCGCTTGAAAATGGAGATTGCCACCGCGCTAGGGTGTTCTGTTGGTTTTGCCATCGGAGGACTAGTATTTGTAGCGTATAAACTTGGCTTACTTTATCAGTTGTTTCATAAGGTAAGTTTGTTTCGTGTAAACAATGTTACATTTTAACTTGGCGTCAGCCTGCTCACTTGCTGTCTCAACTCTAAAACTTAGTAGGTGAAAGGTAACCCTGCTGCATGTGAGAGAACTCTTAACTGCCTTGTGGCTAACACAAGGGCCATGACGACACAGTGCAGGTTCTTCAGAAGTCATACAATAGGCTACATAAGGAGCATTAGGCCTACTAGGACAATATGCAGTTTATTGATAATTACAAGATACTGTAGTAATAAATAACCAATAGGCCTTTTCTAGTTTACGACAACACTTTTCAGTTAATTAAATCTAATATTCACAGTCCATGACCCCGATTTGAGGTCTGCCTGTTCAATCCTTTGCCTGAGTCCTCTACTTCTTCCCCCAGACTGAGACCCAGAGCCCTCGCCATGGTGGGGAGAGTGTGGCAGAGGTTCTGCGTGCCCATGGGGTTAAGTTTGTCTTTACCCTGGTGGGGGGGCACATCTCACCCATCTTGGTGGCCTGCGAGAAGCTGGGCATCCGCATCGTGGACACCAGGCACGAAGCCACTGCCGTTTTTGCAGCTGACGCAGTAGCCAGGCTCTCTGGTAAATAAGTAACATAAATGACCTACTATAATATCCCAAATACCTTGCATTACAGTTGTCGGTGTCTATCTGAACCGTCCGGGACTGGTTTAACTTGCTTAGTGCGCTATAGTCTACTAATTTGTTCATACTGTAGCATTGACACTGTCAGTGATTCTCCCTCCAACAGGCACTGTAGGTGTAGCTGCAGTGACTGCTGGCCCAGGCCTGACTAACACAGTCACAGCAGTGAAGAACGCTCAGATGGCCGAGTCTCCACTGCTTCTCTTGGGGGGAGCTGCTGGAACACTACTTCAGGTGAGTGTCTGAGGGCTTTTACTGGTGTGGCTGCATGGGTGGTACCCTAGTCCTAACATTAACACTAAAGCTAAGGTCACGCTACACCAGCAAGTTATACTCAACAAAATACCATAATCTTGCACTGTAGAATTGTGTGACTGTGGGTGAGCACACTCTCTCATCTGATTCCCCCTATCCATTGTGGAGGTTTGACCTCTTGGTGAACTTTTGTTGTGCAGGGTAGAGGAGCGCTGCAGGACATTGACCAGATGTCCCTGTTCAAGCCGCTGTGTAAGTTCTGCGCCTCGGTGAGGAGTGTGAGGGAGATCGCCCCCACGGTGAGGAAGGCCCTGGCCATCGCCCAGTCTGGAACTCCAGGACCTGTGTTCATAGAGTTCCCCATCGACACACTCTACCCCTTCCACCTAGTGTCCAAAGAGTTCGGAGTGAAAAACCCTCCCAAGGGAATAATGGGGAAAGTTGTCACTTGGTAAGTAATCAGCAGGATTGTGCTTGACCATGCTTTCACATATCCCTTGTGATTTGTGAAAGTAACAGATGCTGTATATCTTTTTCCATAAGGTACCTCCACAATCACCTAAATAACTTGTTTGCTGGAGCCTGGGAAACCAGAGACGTGTCCCCTCTCCCAGTGCACATCCCTCAGGCCACAGACGATCAGGCAAGACTAACTCTAGCCCTCAGTCGTTCTCTAACAACAGTGAGAAAGGCTTAATTTAAGCCGACAGTTTGTACTGTAGCCAGTTACAGTTTTCCAATAGACATGAAGGTATGTTTGTTATGTATCCCTTGTGGCTCAACCTCTATTGATTTGTCATCAGGTACAAAAGTGTATAGAGCTGGTGAGCAGAGCCAAGAAGCCTGTTATCCTACTGGGGAGCCAGGCAACACTACCTCCAACACCTGCAGACGACATCAGGTATTTCAACAACCACATTTATATTACACGAGACATCAGCAGACATCTGGTCCATTCAATGCCAATTCATATAGTTGTCCTGTTACAGGGCGGCCCTGGAGTCCCTGGGTATCCCCTGCTTCCTGGGTGGAATGTCCCGTGGCATGCTGGGTAGGAACAGTCCCTTGCACATCAGACAGAACAGGAGGGACGCCCTAAAGGACTCAGACCTTGTGCTGCTAGCAGGTGAGACACAAACTGCCACCTATAAGTTTTGTCTTCATACAGTTGTTGTGTCTTTGAGGCTGTCTCACAATGGTGGCATGTGTTGCAGGAACTGTATGTGACTTCCGATTAAGCTATGGCAGAGTGCTGAACAGGCGCAGCAAGATCATTGCTGTCAACAGAGACAAGACTCAACTTCTGAAGAACTCTGACATGTTTTGGAAGCCCACTGTGGCCATTCAGGGTTGGTACTGATGACTGAATTGTCCAATCAGAAGTGTTATTTGCTTTCACATAATGCTGCCACTACCTCTTTGGGCTATTTGGTCTTGTGGAGACTCACATTTCTGTCTGTCTTTTAGGAGATGCAGGCTCCTTCCTACTCCGCCTCTCCGATGGCCTCAAGGGCCACAAATGTCCTGAGGATTGGCCACAGAGTCTCAAAGCAGGAGATGTCACCAAAGAGAAGGCTAATCGGTACAGTTGTGGAATTCATTCAGCCAGTTGGGCAGAAAGCCTCCATACAAATGACTACAGTCAGTACATCTAGTGCACCAACCATAGCCAGTAAAGGGTGTGTTAGTTCCCTGTGAAAGTGTGTTTTCCATGCAGGGGGAAGGCTGATGAGAAGACGGACCGCCACCTGAACCCCCTGAGTGTCCTGCACCGTGTGGATGAGCTGATGGCTGACGACAGCATCATAGTGGCGGATGGGGGCGACTTTGTGGGCAGTGCTGCTTACATCATGAGACCAAGGGGCCCACTCCGCTGGCTGGATCCAGGTCAGGATCCTCAGTGGACAGTATTAGAGTTTTTTTTTTTTTTTTTTTTTTACAAAATATGTTTTGAAATATGTTATAGGATATAGTCACTTGAGTAAGAGCGGTATTAACAAGTACAATAAAAAAAAAAGTAGGACTTGTTTATTGAATTTGAACCCTGGACGTTCTTGATATTTTAATGGATGATTACCTAATGTTGTTCGTCATTCTAACAGGAGCATTTGGAACCCTTGGTGTTGGAGGAGGGTTTGCTCTGGGAGCCAAGCTGTGTCGACCTGAGTCAGAGGTAAAGTAGAATACCAAGCAGGCTTTATCGATCACTGTTTTTATAGGGGTTTAGGTTTGTCGGTTTGTTCATGTTATGAAACAACATGTATGGTTTTGGTTGAGTTTAGCTGACTAAGTTTCTCATTAAGGTGTGGATCATCTATGGTGATGGATCCCTGGGATACAGTGTTGCAGAATTTGACACCTTTACCAGACACAAGGTACAGTAATAACCAATTCACTATTCAGACCAATTTATCAGCTAACTAATCTTGCATTCCGACCAGTTAATCTGCTTTGTCCCTCTCTCTCCCAGACACCAGTAATTGCTCTGGTGGGGAACGATGCCTGTTGGAGCCAGATCTCCAGGGAGCAGGTTCCCATCCTGGGCAGCAACGTGGCCTGTGGCCTGGCCTTCACAGGTCTTTATGTTGGCCTACTGTAACCCCACTGCCACCATACTGGGGATCTCTAGTGCCCATACTCACACATGCAATGTCTCTGTTGGCCCATGTCATCTGTTTGGATGTCATGTCACACATCCAACATGCTGTCTCTATTTTCCTCTTCCCTAGATTACCACATAGTTGCAGACGGTTACGGCGGCAAGGGCACCCTCATTGGTCGTGAGGATGAGAACAAGCTGGATGACATCATAAAAGAGGCACAGAAGGAGACCCGAGAGGGGAGAGCCACACTACTCAATGTTCTCATAGGGAAGACCAACTTCAGAGAGGGCTCCATCTCTGTGTAGAGTAGGTCAGACAGACAGGCCGCAACCCGTTGGGTTTCTGTCTGGACCTGTGGGTCCTAAAACCTTCCCACCTTGCCTAGAAACCCACATTTGTTCACATGCTGTGGAACAGTACAACTGCTGCATTTATCTGGTGAAGAAGGGAAAAGATGAGTGTGTCTGCTGAATGAACCCAACAATTCAGGAACTCATTCTTCTCAACCTTTATCAGCCTTTCAAACAGCTGTTAAGATAAGTTTTGATCATGGACTTGAATGGATGAATGAAACCATTTTGGGTTGTTTTTGCTTGAGATAATCAAACTTGACTTGTATGCTTTAGAAAATGAACTATGACTGGCTTTGCTGCTGTTATTATGTAGTAGGCCAGTATCCTTGCTGTATACACTTAACTAATACATGTATATTGACTTCAGATAGCCTATTGATCTACTGAACTCTACCTTGAAGCTGGTCATTTTATTTTGAAAAACAAAGTGAATTTTGGAATGATGTCCTTCATAGGGATATTTAGGAAAGTTAAACATACACTAACCTACAAGCCGCAGCAGGGTCTTTAGGGTTAAGAACAAGGTAATAATACAATTGTAATAATACTGTAATCATTTAATTTAAATGGTATAGAATTGATGATTGTATGCCTTTTTAAATTTTTGAATGTACTGTAAGACTCTACTAATACATCAATCAACAGAATGGGTACACAAATACAAGACGCCCTATGAAAGAGGAAGGAATTTCAACTGGAAGATGTTATCATAAGTTACCATTTGGGTATTGGTCATTATAATCTTACTTATTACACTGCTCATACTATTTCAGGTTTACCTATTTTAAGGAATTCTGCATTATCCTGATCATGCAAATTGGAGTCCACCTTAAATTTGAATGTTTTGAGAATATTGGAATATTTTCTGTTTTGCTTTGGATTGAATCACTATGTACTATTCATAATATTTGAGTCGTTGTCAGGAGAGGGATTGGAAGACACCTGCCCTGAATCTGGGTGTGAGAATCTGTTGCACTGACATTTTGGGTTTGATTATATAATATTTTATCTTATACATAAGCACACTGATACTAGTATGCCTCTTCTGTTTTTCAATGTTGACCCAATGCATTTAGTCATCAGAACGATGTGGGATTATAGGGACAGTTGTTATTTTTGCATTGCAATAAAGAGAATCATGTATATTGTTTTTTTCCGCTCTATTGAGTGATGCCTGCCTTTGTGACACCGGCTGTATTGGTTGTCTAATTCTGAGATATTCACCATTGTTACGACCAGTGTATGACTACACTATCCACTCCACTGCCTCCTTATCCTCTATCATTTACCTTGAACTTTGATCAACTCAGAGGTCAAGAGTGTGTTAGCTGTAGGCAGAGCTACTGTACATACAGATCTCTATATGTCTCTGGCTATATAGTCACAAACATGCTAGTCTTGCGTTACCATACTACCAAGTCTTGTTCAATGATTGTTCTACTGTATAAATGTTCTGACTGTTTTAGATAATAGGATATGATGGTTTGCTTTTAGATTGAATGTTCAAAGTCTACAAGTGTTACAGCCAGTGTATTACATATTAATAATACAATTTGGATCATCGCACCCTAACCATTTACTTTGGTCCTATTGGTCGAAACAAATTGAAGAGTAATTATAGGTCTGCTTGATGAATGAACGATTGTTATTTGGCCAACAGCTTCTCTTAACTAATTTTTCTTTTCCAGCTGTATGTTCTCTTCTTTGAAGTGTTAATCCATATCTCACAGAACTGCACCTGTAGACCTCTTTCTTATTCTCTACTTTTCCTGGGAGAGTTTAACCTCCTGTGAACCTTTCTATGGTGAGCAGTGCCTCCTGATGTTCTGGAGCACCATTAGCTCTAGAGCAAACAGCATGGCTTGCAAAAGGCTTTTCCATATGTTCTGGGTTGGTCCTACTTTCATTTTTCCTCAAGCAGTACTAATGGAATTGACTGATTTAATGCAGATTTCTTTAGTAATTTTGTCCTGAATTCTGTTATGCTTTTACAGCAGTACTACCTGTGTCTTGGAAACCTTTGGCCCACTCCTTGTGGGTGCAATTTTCGTAATTACCAGTAGATGGTGGACTCTCACCATTGTTTGTGTGTCGGCCACACATATACTATTATTGGTATCCTCAAAGTAGGCTAACTAACCAGTTGTGTAAAGTACTTAAGTAAAAATACTTGAAAGTACTACTTAAGTAGCTTTTTGGGGTATCTGTACTTTACATTACATTTTTGACAGCTTTTACTTTTACTTCACTACATTCCTAAAGAAAAGTATGTACTTTTTACTCCATACATTTTCCCTGACACCCAAAAGTACTCGTTACATTTTGAATGCTTAGCATGACAGGAAAATTGTCATATTCAAGCACTTATCAAGAGAACATCCCTGATCATCCCTACTACCTCTGATCTGGCGGACTCACTAAAACATGCTTTGTTTGTAAATTATGTCTGAGTGATGGAGCATTCCCCTGGCTATCCGTAAATTTAAAAAACAAGAAAATTATGCTGTCTGGTTTGCTTTATATAAGGAATTTGAAATTATTGATACTTTACTTTTGATACTTATGTATATGTAAAACCAAATACTTTTAGACTTTTTAAAATATTGCTTGTGTAGAAAATAGTTTTATTGTCAGTAATTTCCAAACAGGGTATAATTTCTTTAATTTGTGGTAGAATTTAGAAAAAAACTTTTATTTTATGTATTTAGAATCAACTATATGCTAGCTGTAATACTGGCCAAAGCATGCTAGCAGTCTGTCATTTTTCTCCAAAAACTGTAGAAGCGTTATTTCCATCACAGTCATTTCCATCACAAACTTAACTGTGGTGGAAATGACAGATCGTGGTGGAATTGAAAACAATTCATTATGTTATTAGTTTTTATTTATTTTTACTTTATTTACTTTAGGCTCATTTAATTCATGTTTTAAATTCATTTAACTTAGAAAATGCTCCAAGTTGTGCACAAGTTGAAAACTTAAGTAGTATTTTTCTTTGTTTATAGAAGATGCCACATAAAACAGCACAGAGGTCACAGACATAGAAACAAAACAAAAAAGTATCCTATACGATACCAGGAGCATCTGCAAAAAGACAGGAAGAGATATTGGAAGAAAAAAGAGAAGGGAGAAGTGAAATCTATCTCTGAGCTTACAAAGCGAGAACAAAGAAGCAAGAGAAGGCAATGGAAATGCAACCAACAGAATAGAAGACAGACTTGAAAGAGAACAGTTGCAATGGAGACCTACCTATCAGGCAACACACCACCTGTCACCAGATGACTTGCAGCCAGAACATGAGGCCAACATACCTGCCCCTAATTTACCTGCCCCTGATGCATGCCCTGTAAATTTACCTTCCTCATCGTCTGCAACAGGAATGAGAAGTCGAATACTTGCTGGAAGGAAAAAGGTTGGAAGAGGTCGCTCAAAAACATACAGAGATCTTTGCATGACAAATGTCAAACTTGATAAACCTTTATGGAAAGCAGAGAAATACAAAAAAATATATTATCAACTGATGAAGAAAATGGAGAGACAAGATTCCCCAAAGACAAAGACAAAACAGCAAATGAAGAAAACGTTTGTTTCAAAATGCCATCATAGCAGAGTTAAAGCAAAATTATCAAAAAATGTGCAGTGCCAAGGACAAACAAGTGGCTTAAAAAATGCTCAGAGGCAACATCCAGAAACATACCAGAAAGTATGGCCTGGTCAAAGCCGCAAACAGAGAATTTGGATTTTCAGCAAAAGCAATGAGGGCAAAAGAAAACAGGCCAACAAGTCTTCAATACTCCAGGAAAAAACAGTGTAACAGAATTAGCACAGCCACAGAAGAGAAAATCACTAGATTCTATGAACATGATGACAACAGTAGAACAACAACAGGGAAAAAGGAACAAGAAAAACAAGCAGAAGCGCTTCTTGAATGGCATAATTCAGAACCTTTATCAGAAGTTTAAGAGGGAATATTCAGAGATGAAAATCTACAAAATGTGTCCTTTTTGGGTTGTCAAGCCAACAGTCCAGGATAGGGACACATGCCTCAGCAAAACCCACGGCAACCTCCAGTTCATGGCGGACAAACTACAGTATCACAAAGTGATCAGCTGCAGCAACATTGAGAACCTTATTGAGTCTTTGTGGACCTGAAAAAAGAGTGCATGTACAGAGAGTGTCCCTTTGCCAAGCAAAAGAGCTTAAACATCTGACTATGATGCTAGTGAGCAGACATGGTGGTTTGAGTGGAAAAACAGCTGAAGAGAGAGAAGAAAAACAAAGAGGGAAACATGGAGAAGTTCACTGTACATTTGACAGTAAAAGAAACGGTGTGTTGCACACTGCAGGACTTCTCCAAAGGATTGACAGAGAAGTTGGGGAAACAACTGTACAACATTCGACACCAATACTCCAAACTGAGAGAATTAAAAGAGAATCTGCGGTAAGAGGAGATCATCGTGCATATTGACTTTGCAGAGAACTACCTGTGTAAATACACCAGTGAAATCCAGGTAGTTCACTTTGGTGATTCTCACAAGCAGGTGACCCTCCACACCTGTGTTGGATATACCACAAATTATACAGTTTCACTCTGCTCACTGAGCTCTTCTATGCGGATGACCCCTCTGCTATCTGGGCCCATCTGCTTGAGCTCTGCCCATCGGCTACTTTTGGAATCTTACTTTGTCTTATATTAATTAAATGTTTAACAATGTATTATGAAGCCAAGATCAATGATATTATGAAGCCAAGATCAATGAAAGAATGATGGAAAAAAACTTTTGAGTACTTTAAATGAAATTATGGGCAGAAAGACAAATTCAACTCTATCTTTCATCGAATCAGATGGCTTATTCATCACAAAACCACTTGATGTTGCCAATTATTACTTCATTGGCAAAGTGGGCTAACTTAGGCAGGAAATGCCAACAACGAACAATGAGCCATCGTATTCATGCATAAAAAAAGAAATAATGAAAGAAAAGCATTGCAAGTTTGAATTTTGTAAAGTTAGTGTGGGAGAGGTGGAAAGATTATTGTTATCGATCAATAATGACAAACCTCCTGGCATTGACAACTTAGATGGAAAGCTACTGAGGATGGTAGATGACTCTGTAGCCACTCCTATCTGTCATATATTTAATCTGAGCCTAGAGAAAAGTATTTGTCCTCAGGCCTAGAGGGAAGCCAAAGTAATTCCGCTACCCAAGAGTGGTAAAGCGGCCTTTACTGGTTCTAACAGCAGACCTATCAAGAAATTGATAATAAGAAGATTGTGGGAGCTGTACTGTTAGATTTCAGTGCAGCCTTTGATATTATTGACCATAACCTGTTGTAGAAAAACCATGTGTTATGACTTTTCAACCTCTGCCATATCGTGGATTCAGAGCTATTTATCTAATAGAACTCAAAGGGTTTTCTTTAATGGATGCTTCTCTAATGTTAAACATGTAAAGTGTGGTGTACCACAGGGCAGCTCTCTAGGCCCTCTTCTCTTTTCTATTTTTACCAATGACCTGCCACGGGCATTAAACAAAGCATGTATGTCCATGTATGCTGATGATTCAACCATATATGCATCAGAAACCACAGCTAATGAAGTGACTAAAACCCTTAACAAAGAGTTGCAGTCTGTTTTGGAATGGGTGACTGGTCCTGAACATCTCTAAAACTAAGAGCATTGTATTTGGTACAAATCATTCCCTACATTCTAGACCTCAGCTGAATCTGGTAATGAATGGTGTGGATGTTAAAATTACTTGGCGTTACCTTAGATTGTAAACTGTCATGGTCAAAACATATAGATGTAATGGTTGTAAAGATGGGGAGAGGTCTGTCTGTAATAAAGAGATGCTCTGCTTTTTTGACACCACACTCCAAAAAGCAAGTCCTGCAGGCTCTAGTTTTGTCTTATCTTGATTATTGTCCAGTCGTGTGATCGAGTGCTGCAAGGAAAGACCTAGTAAAGCTGCCGCTGGCCCAGAACAGAGCGGTAAGTCTTGCTCTTCATTGTAATCAGAGGGCTGATATAAATAATATGCATGCCAGTCTCTCTTGGCTAAGAGTTGAGGAGAAACTGACTGCATCACTTCTTCTTTTTATAAGAAACATTAATCTGTTGAAAATCCCAAATTGTTTGCATAATCAAT